CAACAACAACAACAACAACAACTCTTCACAGAAGCAGGTTGACAGGCCTTTTCTCCTGTAGGAGCGACTCTAGTGAGTGCAAATCACCAACCTTTTGGGTAGCAACTGAGCGATTTAACTGTAACACCATTAACATTTCCATTCATTCTCATTGTGTTGAGCTGGGACTGGCTGAGCGCTAGGTTTCTGAGGCTATAAATTGCACAGGAGGAGGTGCCTCTCTCCTGGGGGGCTGCTGCTGAATTTGCACAGTGAGAAAGGGGTGGAGTTTGGGCTGGCTACGTACTTCCCTACAGACTAGGTGCCCAGCGCTCCCTATGGCATCGGTAGGGTTTCTAAGTAGGACATGCACTTAGTTTTTTCTTAGTCACTAGCTCCTCAAGCATTTAAAGATCCATGTTAGACTTTTCCCAGGCATATGATTTTATAGTAATAACATTTCTAAAGCTTTCTGTAGTCTATATTAGGTGTTGACATGATGAATTATCTCCTGGTTTCTTTTGCTCATAGCCTGTTGGCCCTGGAAAATATGTGTTTGATATCGGATGTGAACAACACGGTGAATATCGCTTAACAGATGTAGTAAGTTGAAAATATGTACCACGTCCTGTATTCATAGGTAAAAGAATTATTAAAGTTAGCTAGAGAAATGATGAAAATGTTCAGGGTGCCTATGACTCATACTAGACTCAACAGCACTTAACAACAACAACAACAACAATTAAAGTTAGGGGAGCCCTGGTAGCCTAATCTGTAGGGAACTGAGCTGCCAGTCCCAAGACCATGCCTCTCTGGTTTTTAGGATCCATTAGCTGCTCCACAGAAGAAAGGTGAGAAATCTCCTCCCTATTTACAGCCTATGAAACCCCTCTGGAGGATCAGCTGTAAGTTGATTCTGACTCCACAACAATGATTTGAATGTTTTTGGGTTTTTGTTAAGGTTAGAGGTGGGTTGAATAAAAAGTCATCTCAACTCTTGGGAACTTTTGTTTCTTTTTCATTTTTCTTCTTTATTTCCATGCACTAGTATGGAACTAAATGGCAAGAAGGAAATCACTGTATCTCGATTCTGAAGTCAGGATGAAACAGCCAGTCTTGAATTGAGAAGTGGGTGGACAGTGTGAAGCCCCTGGATGGCACAAAAGGTTTTAACTTGACTACTAACCTGAGGGTCAGAGGTTCGAACCCAACTACTGTGCCACTGTTGTTAGTAGAGTCGGAACTGGCTCATAACTGACCCTCAAGTAGGTTTTCAGAGGCAGTAAATCACACAGGAGGAAGCTGTCGGTCTTTCTCCCATGAAGCAGCTGGTGGGTTCAAACTACAAGGCTTTGAGATGGCAGCACAACTCCCTACAGTGGCACACTGTAGTGGCACACTAGTGACAATGCAGTGTCACTAGTTCATCATGTATTTAAAAGGCCATGCTGAATAATTTCCAGTTGCATGACATTGGGTGCATTTTATATTGATACCATTTATGAAGCACTTTGTATGTGTACTGTGTATTGACATGGTGAAGTATCTCTTGGTTTCTTTTGCTCATGGCCTTTTGCTTCTTTTTTTGGTGGTTTTTTTAAAATTAATTTTAATGGAAGTTTACAGAGACTTCGGGTTTCCAGTCATTCATTGTTGCACTTTTCTCCCTGGCAACCCCCTCCCCTCCAATTCACACTTCTCCTTAAAAAGTAAAAGAAAAACTCTTCCATTGTTATGCAATCCCTTCTCCCAAGTCCACTCCACTGTGCAGCCTTCATTCTGGACTCCTGTCATGATAATAATACCCAATCATATATCCCTTTTAAACAGTTCTCTCCCTCATATGTTTTAATGCAGTATGCTTTGTTCCTCCCCTCCTTCTCTGCCTTCCCTCAACCCTGATGTCAGTCCTGTTTTACAACAGTGGCCCTATGCAATATTTGTCCTTTTGTGACTGAGATATTTCACTCAGCATAATGTCCCTTAGGATCATCCATTTTGCTTAATATTTCATGAGTTCCTTGTTTTTCAGTGCTGCATAGTATTCCATTGTGTGAATACACCAGAACTTCTCTATCCATTCATTTGTTGATGGGCAGTTAGGTTGTTTCCAGGCCTTTGCTATTGTGAACAAAGACACAATAAACATGGGTGTGCATATATCTGCTTGGATGGTGGTTATGGTTTCTTTAGGGTAAATTCCTAGCAGTTGAATTGCTGGGTCACATGGTATTTCTATTTGCAACATTTTGAGAAAGTGTCATACTGCCTTCCATAGAGGTTGCACCATTTTACACTCCCACCAACAGTGAATAAGGGTTCCAGTTTCTCCACAACCTCACCAGCGTTTGATGTTTGCTGTTCTTCTATTAAATTTTGCTATTCTGACTGGAGTGAGATGATATCTCATAGTTGTTTTGATTTGCATCTCTCTTAGAGCTAGGGATTTTGAACATTTCTTCATGTATTTGCCATCTGTATGTCTTCTTTGGTAAAGTGTCTGTTCATATCCTGTGCCCATTTATCAATTAGGTTATTTACTTTTATCTTGTTGTGGAGCTTGAGTATTTTATGAATTCTGGATATAAGTCCCTTGTCTGACATGTCATGGACTTTTGCTTCTGTAAAGATTCTAGGCAAGAAAACGCTATGAAGCTACTCTGTGCCATATGCGGCACCATGAGTCAGGATTAATCCGACATACTCCTCCTGCTGCTGCTGTTAGGGAGCTCTGGTGGCCTAGTGGTAAGAAGCCACACTGCAATCCCAGAGGCATGCAGTTCAAGGCCACCAGTGGCTCCATAGGAGAAGGTTGGGCAATCTTCTCCCATTTGATTAACTGCCTCTGTAAACCCACTGGAGGGTCAGCTATAGGTTGATTCCGACTCTATGGTACACAACAACAACTTCTATTATTATTATTATTACTATTTGAGGTCTTAGAAAGTGACAGCTGAAATGTATGACACAATGTCACCACAATCCAGCCCATAAATATTAACGTGTCAGTAGTGTGACTCACCTGATCCACTGGATCCCTTCACTGCTCTGTGGGCAGCTTCACTATGTAGTGTCATAAAGGAGCAAAACCACAACCCCTTTGCCTCTCTTACTAATATGTGTGACTGGGTTCATGTAAACATTAGTAAGTTCACGTTTTTAAAATTAGGAAAGAGGTGAGGAGGAAGAGGAGGAGGAAACATTAGTAACAGTCGTTCCCAAATGGAAAGCCACCAAAATCACGGAGTTGGCGCTGTGGACGCCGCGAATCTCTGAGGAGAAGCAGCCTGCAGAGGCGCAGGCTGCACAGGAGGACACCGCGGGCACTGAGGGTGAGTGCGTCTCCAGGCGCCCCAGGGGCAGGTGCTGGGCAGATTTGTGTGCAGGGAGTGCACCAGGGGGTGCTCCCAGGGAAGGGTGAGGAGGAAAGAAGTAGGTTAGAGAGAGTGGAGGTGCAGCCCCTCTGCCACCTCAGGGGATTCTGTGGGCAGGTCTGAGGTAGAACAGTCTTTGTTTCCCTCCCCTGGACCATTGGTAGGGCATGAACCACCCATGTACAGGATGGCCTTGAGCATGGACGCTGACAGCAGTTCACGACAAATCCTGTCCAATAGGACCGAGAGCACTTCTCCATGCCCATCATAGATTTCTCGCAGAAGCTGTCCACGTGTAAGGTGCACTGGCCTGGAATTTTTCCAGTGCGAGTGAAGGAAAGCCAGTCCAGTTCGGCTTGAGTAAAATGATGATCTTATGTATGGGTTCAGTTACTTGCAGAGCTCAGGGCCGTGCAGCCCGGACCATGGCTGGGTTGGTTTCCGGGGTGCAGTCCTAGGTCTCCTCTGCTTTGCCTGGCTCTGCCTGCAGCCTTCCACCTCCCTGCAGAGGAGAGGCGGCGTTGCCAGCTCCACCACACTTCCATCTAGTCAGGGTCTTGGTCCTGAGACAGAAAGCCCTTCTTTCTCAGGAGCACACTGCTGCTATCAAGAGGAAGAAGCTGCTGCTAGATCGCAGAACTCCACAGGGCCGCGGTCTCCCCAGCATCTGGGTCTTCAGGCTTATCACTCTATGTTGTACTTATTAGCCCCTCAGTGGTGCAAATAGTTTACACTTGATAATTAACTGAAAGGATAGTGGTTTGAAATCCATCAGCAGTGCCTCAGAAGAAAGGCCTGGCACTCTGCTTTTGTAAAGATTACAGACAAGAAAACCCCGTGAAGTACAGCTCTACTTTCTCATACACAGAGTCAGTAGGAATTGACATCAATAATGAAGCAACAGGTCTGATTTGGTTTTGGCTGTATTTCAGTGACCGACACTGGGGAGGACACTCAGCCACTGACTGACATTTCTGAAGGTGAGGCCGTTGAAGAGGATGTAGATGTCTCCCGGGAGGAGGGCCGGGACTACGCCCAGGAGGAGTTCCGATATGACGTGGACCAAGGTGAGGATGAGCGAGAGGGGCGGGAGTATGAGTGAGGGTCTCCACACAGTGTGACGACACACCTGGAGCTGAGCCATCCCAGGTCAGGCCCTGGGGACCCGAGAAGGCTTCTGACCACCCACTGTGAGCTCAGGTGGCCTCCATACTCGAAGAGCATTTCTCTCTTAAATACCCTGCAATCTAGGGTTACACAGATTTGGGGGGGCATGGTAAAGGAAATAGGAAAGATCTGACGGGGATCTGGAAAGATAGGGCAATGGTAGGCATATTTAGATGTTGATTAATTTTATAAAATACAATGAAAGTGTACCTGAACAATACTTGCTATGCATCAGAAATCTGGACAATGACTAGGAACTATAGAAAGAGAATTGATGCCTTTGAGCTGTGGTGCTGGAGAAGAGTGTTGAATATACCATGAATTGCTAGGAGAACAAACAAATTCATCCTGGAGAGCACGAAGCCAGGCTGCTACCTGGAGGCAAGCATTCTGAAGCTCCATCTAACATACTTTGGGTGTGTTTCACGGAGGCACCAGTCCTTGGAGGGAGACATTATGCCTGGGAGGGTAGAGGGAAAGAGAGGAAGACCCTCGATGAAGTAAATTGATTCTGTGACTGGGGTAATGTGTGTCAGAGACAATAGGTTGTCTCAGCATAGAGCAGGGTTCAGAGCTGTTCTACATAGGGTTACTATGAGTCGCAAACGACTCAACGGCACATAACAACAATGACTGTATTGAAACAAAATGTGAATGAAGATAATGTGAAAAATAATATATAGGAACTTTGTAAGCAAACCAGTATGAAAGAAAAAAGTTATTTAAAAAAACCCCAGCACCCTGCATTCCTACTGACTGGCAAGGAATCCCCCAGGTCTGGTGGCCATTAGTCTCTATAGCTTTTGTTGATGATAAAACGCCAAAGGTAAGCTAGAAGTTATTAACACTGCCTCATGTGGCTGCATAATGTTTTTATGAACAAGTAATGATCATCTGGCCTGCGTCAGGTGTGTCTCTCAAGAACCTTTGGGGCTAATTGGGGAGCCGTATACCGGCTCCAGGAAACGTGATGGGAAAGAGGTGGAAGGGACAGACAATATCAACAAGATAGAACCTCAGGAACAGGACAGGGAGAGAAAGGATAGAGTCAAGGAGCCCCACGACCAGCTGGCATTGAAGATTCGTGAAATAAAAGGATGGTCTCGGTGGTTTTGACCAGCGATGGGGCTTGTTGCTACCATCTAGTGGGGAGAGGCCAGGATTGCGGCTAAAGCTCCTAGAAAGCCCAGGAAAATAGAGCTAAGACTTACTGGGCCAAATCATCTAGTGGAGAAATTGAGAAATCCCGTCCCAAATGAACTCACTTTAATGCACTTAGTGAGAAGGACATTTTAACAAAATAATAACAGCTTCATGTCTGTTCATCATGGTTTTGATCTTTTTGGAGTTTCATCTTAAAATTTCCTTTTGACATTATCAACCATGATTGTTGCAGAGTTTACTTACTAATAAGCTTTACATTTCATGAAGCATTTGCTTATAGCATCTTGTAAGAACATAGCAAATTTTGTTTTTATTACTCTTTGTTTTTGTTTTTATTACTCTTAAGATCCAGGAGATTATATTTGTAGTCCATCATATTGGGCGTATTTTGGCATAGTGTGCAGGCATGAGGTAACGGCTCAGCTTGCACTCACTCATAAGAATGTTTCTTTCTTAGTATTTAAATCTGTTTTTCCTTACTTGATTGTTGGCACTAAAAAAAACCCATAAAAATCTGCATAAAATTTAATATTCCATTTTTGCCTGATAAATGCTTAACAGTTATAATAGATGTTTATTACAAAAATCTATTCATGAGTAAAGAATAGAAAAATAAATTAAGTATACTCATGTTTCCCTTTTCTTCACAGGAAATACTTCTTTTGAAGAAGAAGAAACTAGACTGTCAGAAATGACAGAGTAAGATGCATGGAGAAGAAGAAATAGGAGATTGCTATCACAGAAGTTCTTCTGTTAGTCGGGCAGCTAATACTAATCAACTATGAATCTTTCTTATTTAATTTTCCTTTATTTGCTGGTTTACATTGTAAATAAATATCTTCTTTATTCTCTCTTCACGAAACAGCTTCTACTTCAATTTCTTTAAATGAAAAGTTGCCAGTCATTTCAGCTTGGTTGTGTGTGTGTGTGTGTGTGTGTGTGTGTGTGTGTGCTGTTTCCCCCTAGGATAAATGAATATGTCAGAAAACTATAATTCTATAGAAGATGAGTAATTCAGGTAGACTTTTGCTGAGCTAGTGGGTGATCATTTACTAATTATTTCCTCCTACAAAATGCCTCTCAGGAGAGTTAGGAAGTCACAATGTTAGATTTACTGTTTTTGTGTCACACATAAAACACCATTGGAGGGGGAGCTCTGGCCCATGCCCACACAGATGCGTCTTCTGCTGGCTGTCCATCAGGGTGGGAAGTTCCCTAATGGACTGCGGAGTAGAACCTGGACCACTTTTTGCTTCCTGCACATTGCTCCATATGCCTCCTCCTCATCACAAGTTTAGCCCTTGGTATTTTATTTTGGGTAAAACTATATAGTTCCAATCATTAATTTCTGTTTACAACTGTTCCTCCTCCTTTGTGTTTCCAAATTTGAGAGTTCAGCCTCAGTTGCCATATCTGTTATTCTATTCTGTGTGTGCTCTAGGATACACAGGGTTTTCAAAGGCCTGTTATGTTTTTGGACGTGGATGGCCAATCCTTCTTCCTAGTCTGTCTTAATTTGGATGCTTACCTTTGGAAGAGCATCTGACAGACAGCATTTTAGTGAAAGGAGCAAATGAAAGACAATTTCCATTTACAGAGATAACTGTATACGCAGTGCCCTCCCTCTGCATGTGTGTCTTGTCACGGCCCTTTCCTTGAATATCAGCATCATTTGCACTCCCTTCTAATCCAATTGAAGCTCAACATCAAGAAGATGAAGATTCTTACCATTGGGCTAATTGGTAACACTGTGATGGATAGAGAGGAAATTGAGGTTCACAGTTACAGCTTGCTTGGCTCCACAGTCAACATTCTTGACACTAGCAGTCAAGACATCAAAAAATAAATTACACTAGGTAAATCTGCTGTCAGAGACCTTTCCAGAGTACTGAGAAGCAACAATATCAGTCTAGAAACTAAGGTGTGCCTGATCCAGGCCATGATTTTTGCAATTACTTGCTATGCATTAGAGAGCTGGACCATGACTAAGGATGACAGAAGAAGAATTGATGCCTTTGATATTGGAGAAGAGTAACGAATGTACCATGGACCACCAAGAAAACAAATAGGTCTGAGAGGGTGAAACCAAGTTTCTCCTTGAAAGTTAGGATTTTGAAGTTCCATCTCACCTACTTTCGGCACGTGGCTAGGAGGGACCAGTCCTTGGAGAAGGACATCATGCTCGGAAGGGTGGAGGGACAGCCCAGGACAGGAAGACTCAGATAAGATGGAATGACACAGTAACTAGGGCAGTGATAGAAATGCCAGAGTCAGAGAGACTGGCTCAGGACAGGGCAGACTTCAGAGCTGCTGTACATAGGGTCGCTATGAGTCGCAGGTGACTCGATGGCACATAACAACAACTACTTTCTAAACAAAAGTAAACCTGCTGTTGAGTTGATTCCTAGTGACTTTCCACTGAGTTTCTGAGGCTGTTCTTTGTCCCTCTGAGCACCTGAGGGATTTGAACCATCAACCTTTCAGTTAGTAGCACAACACGTGATTCACTCTAGTGGAGCTCCAATTCTCATTTTGCCTGCTACCATTTCATTTGCCCTCACAGATGTCGTAACAGAAATATCACAAGTGAGTGGCTTTAGAGAACTGAGATTTATTTTCTCAGAGTTCAGGAGGTTACAAGTACAAATCAGGGTGTGGGTCTAGGGGGAAGTGATTTTTGGCCATTTCAACTTAGAAAAGCTAGCAACTCTTGAGAATTCCTAAACTTGTAGATACATCAGTCTCCATCATCAAACAATGTCTCTCTTCCTTTGGTGTCTATGTTGATCCTTGTGTCCCCACAACTCTATAATTCAGATGTGATTAGGATCAGGATTCACTCTACACTGGGATCACCTCAGCTAACTAATTACCTTAAAGTACCTCAAGCAAGATGATGAATTACATTACATTTAGATTAGATGTGCAGGTACAGGGTCTAGGAATCTGATAAGCACAGGACATTTTGGGTCAGAAGATCATATGATCTACTAATCTGGAGACGAAAAGGAAAGGAAAAATGGGGCTGCTTTCATAGTTATTTCTAGATCCATCTTGAAATATAATGTTGTGAATGACAGGAAAATATTCATGTGCATACAAGTAAGTCCAGTGAATACCACCATCATTCAAATATACGCACCAACAACCAGAGCCAAAGAAGAGGAAAGAGATTTCTTCCAACTTTTGTAGTCATAAATCAATTGAACATGCAATAAAGATGCATTAATAATAATGGGTGACTGGAATGCAAGAGTTGGGAACAGAGAAGAAGGATCAGTAGTTGGAAAACATGGACTTGGTAACAGCAATGAAGCTGGAGATAGAATGATAGAATTCTGTATAATCAACAATTTATTGCAAATAGTTTTTATAAGAAACAAACACAGGCTTCTACACATGGATTTCACCTGATGGTATGCATAGGCATCAGATCGATTACATTGGTGTAAATAATCGTTGGAGAAGCTGACTATCAGCTGTGAAAACTAGGCCAGGTGCTGATTATGGGACAGACCACCAACTGCTCATATGCAAGTTCAAGCTGAAGCTAAGGAAAATTAAATCCACAGGAAGCAAAATTTGACCTTGAGTCTATCCCACCAGAATTTCAAAACCATCTCAGGCACAGGGTTGAGGCCTTGAACACCTGTTTGTTCTCCTAGCAGTCCATGGTATTTTCAAAACTCTTCTCCAGCACCACAGTTCAAAGGCATCAATTCTCCTTTCATCATTCCTAGTCCTTGGCCAGTTTTCTGATTCACAGCAAACAATTGCAAAGACTATGGCCTGAATCAGGCACTCCTTAGTCACCAGACTAACATCGTTGCTCTTCAGTACTCTGAAGAGGTCGCTGACAGCCGATTTTTCCAGTGCAATTAGTCTTTTAATTTCCTAGCTACTAGTACCAAGAGTTTTGATTGTGGAACCAAGCAAACTAAAGCTAAAAATCTCTAAAGTTAACAATCTCAATCTCTTTACCATCTATCATGTTGCTGTCAATTGGCCCAGTGGTAAAAATCTTTGTCTTCTTGATGTTGAGTTTCAATACATATTGAAGACTACAGTCCTTGACCTTCTGCAGCAAGTGCTTCAGGTCCTCAGTTTCAGCAAGTGGGGTTGTGTTATCAGCATAAAACAAATTGTTGATGAGTCTTCCTCCAATCCTGATGCCACAATTCTCCTCATAGAGTCCAGTGTCCCAGATGATCTGTTCTGCATAAAGATTGAAAAGGTATGGAGACAGAATACATCCCTGGCTTGCACCCTTGCCGATTTTGAACCATGCAGTGTTTCTTTGCCCTGCTCTGATGACTGCCTCCTGGTCCAAGTATAGGTTTCACATAAGCACAATCAATGTTCTAGGATTCCCATTCTTCTCTGAGTTAGCCACAGTTTGTTGTGATCCAAACAGTCAAATGCCTTTGTATAGTCAATAAAACACAGCTATTTCTCTGATACTCTCTGCTTTCAGCCAAGATCCATTTAACTTTAGCTACAATATCCCCGGAGAACAACCACTTGGCCAACTGGCCGGAAGAGATCTATATTTGTTCCCATTCCAAAGAAGGGTGATCCAACTGAGTGTGGAAACTACAGAACAATATCATTG